ACATAATCGTATATAATGTGAACCAATATCATTATTATCATTATGATCAGACGTTGAAATGATTTGTTTATATTCAGTTTGACATGTATTCATATAAGTAATAGGGTCTTCTCTGAGTCGTGTTACAAGATCTAATAATTTCTCAGCCATAATATGAGTATCCTCCATTACATGATGTGTTTGTGTCCATCTGGAAAAACGTTCAAGTGTTGAAATAAGATTTACTAAATGACGTCGTCGACATTCCATATCACACAAAAAGTCAATCATATTGTTTAGTGTGAGCGTTTTAAAAAGTAAATGACTTGTATAACGTATGCCATACTTTATTGTCATACTATCCCATAGTTGTTTAACGAGTGTCTGATTTTCTATGGGTGCTTTCTGAAGTGGATATTCCAGCATACAATACATACAACGAAAATTTCTACTACTACCAAGATAGGTTTGTACTGAATTTACACATTGAGTACAATATAATCGGCTACATTTTGTATTTATACATTCGAGAGGAATACGTTCTTCTTGAATTCCAAACGAACAAAGACACATTGTACACGAATTATATAGCTACAATAATAATAATCATAGATCATTTGAGAAAAACTTATATAATTTATTCTTCAATATACCTGTTTTGCATTTAAACTAACTCTTCTACCATTCAATAGTATATATGAATGATCTATCTCATTATTGACATTTCGAGAATCTATTAGAGATAGTAAAATAAAATCAATTACACTCAAATATTATATCATTTACTTTTGTTAGAAAAGTTGCCCATGTTATTCAAGAAAGTTTATTTTCGACAACTTTGTAGTTTGATACTATTTAAATAAACGTCTTGATGTCTTGCAAACAGATGTGACATATCATTTTTATCATATGATTATAAAGTTTTGTATATGATGATTCAAAGTAAATATATGTAATAACAGAAAGATAATATGACATGTGACATCGTTGACGAAGATTTTTTTTTGAAATGGATAGACAGACGGCTATCATCTTAAAATAGACTTATATTTTCTTTTATTGTGTTTTGAAATATAAAAATCATATTAACTCTCTTAAGATCATGTTTTGTAATATATTCGTTATAAATCGATAAATATCTGAAAAATTAAAGATTCATTCATCTGTCATATTGGATACATATCAAAAATTTAAAATAAACTTTTCCGAATATACTATAGAAAATGATTTCATCTTTTAATAGTTTGATTAATATATCATATTCATGTTTGGATCATGAATACTATTTAATTTGAATTTATAAGAAAATTCTCAACCGAATAAATACTTTGTTCTTGTTGACTTTTGTTAAACTTTTATTCTTTTCTTCATGTCATAGTTGATAACGATTACTTGTAAAAGATGAAGTAAAAACAAGACAAAGGACAAAGCAGCCCTTTTTTATCACAAAGTTCTTGCCATGATTATCTTTAACAAAATTCAGAATAGTACAAAATATTTAACATTATCTCAAGTACTCTCAATAAAATATAAAAAATAATTAAATCTTGTTATGTTGTCAGCATGAATAACAAAATGGTATAAACGTTTTCTGAACCAGTTTATAAATAAATACTGTAGATATGAAAGCTTTCAAATTAAAATCTTCATTTTCTTTTAACTTGTGTATATTCTTATCAAAATAATCATGTTCTCAGTAGTTGACTATTTTAATTGGATGCACCATCTTTAGGTTGGGTGTGAGTTTGAGCACACCCCATACCATCAAGATAGTCATATATTCTTACTTCCTCTTTGTTTTCTATATACTATAGAAATTATGTGTTTTTAATTATTTTTTGTCTACTTCCTTTGATACTTACTCATTTTATAAGGTAAATCAGTTAATAAACGTCATTATTGATAAATAATGTAATTACACGACATGAATTTCTACCTCACAGATGACTCACAATTGACTGTATACAATTTAGCGGTGAATATTTCTATTGAATATGCGTCAAAAACGAATATGAAGTTATGCTTGAGTAACCTTCATCATGCTGTTGGTTTTTCCCCATAAATATTTAATATTTTGTATATATATGAATACATGATCAAAATCATTGATTGAAATACAAACATAACGTCTTAAGCACTTCGACAAAAGTCTTTAAATTATAAAATGTCCAAAAATTCATCAAAGGTATTATTAGAACGACTAATTAACTAGTTCTTATTCATTGTTCTTCTATTCTAGTTGATTTTTTCACGATCCAGTTACCAAGAACGTGTGCTTGGTTTTTGTGATATTTGTTACAATATTATTGATTTAGACAAGAAATTATACTATGAATGTCAGAATTGTCAGGACTTCTTGGCCTGTCGTCATTGTGTTCAAAGCAATCGCCACAAAAATCATCCAGCTCATCATTCATTTGCTGTTGCCCTTCTTCCACCAGATGACCATTGGATTCACATGAATCTTGGTATTAGTTGTGATATTTGTTTTCGACAAAATTTCACTGGAAAACGATATCAATGTCAGACATGTCTTCCCTCGATTAGCTTCGATGTATGTTCATCGTGTTTACCTAAAGTGGACTTATTTCATCCGAAGCATAAGTTGATCTTCGTACCTAATGCGATTAAAATACATGCCAATCGAATTGTTTTAGCAACAAGAGCAATTAAAATATTGAACGCAGCAGAATACAACGGTATAGACCTTGATGACGCAACTGGTTGGCGATTGTCAGATGCTCAGACAGTTCTGGCGGTAAATATGTTGGAACTACAAAAACTAATAAATGCTGTTTCTGCCCTAAGCCTTTCTGATTCATTATCTGATGAATCCGAATTGAACAGCTGTTCCGATACTTCGCTTCAAGAATATTCGCAGTCATTCGTGGAAGACCCTATGCTAACTTACTTAAAAAATGTTCAAAAAGAAATGGCATCATTAGACGTCGCATCTTACTTGAACGGGCTTCAGGAAGAAATGGCATCATTATCTGTCAGTCCACCAGTCGAAAAACGATTAGAAACGCATATGTCACCTGATTTTTCATCTAGTCTTGATTATAACCAATGGATGCTAGGCTTTTTAGAACAACAGAGAAAAACACTTGAAGTACAAAAAGAAGAAGATGAGAAACAAGACAGAATTCGTCAGAAAGTCATACACGATAAAATCATACATGATAATATTATCCGTGACGAAAGATTGAAAAAATTTCATATAGACAAACATTACGAAAATGAACGCATTAACAAACAGTATCAAACTGCTAATCGACTTGATCAGGAACGTCGTCTCCAGAGTCACTTAGAAAACGAAAGAGTAACTCAGGCAAGTCGAATGGCAGCGATTCAACAACAACAAATTCTGGATGACGCAATTCAACAACAAATTCGACAACAACAAATTCTGGATGACGGAATTCGACAACAACAAATTCGGGATGACGCAATTCGACAACAATGGCGATAATTGAAAAATATGACAGAATTAGCAGAGATCCGCGCATACTGCACAAAACTCTTATGAGTGAAACAAAGCTTTTTCTTACATTAAATAAATTTCTAATATATGAGTAAAAACCGACGTGCACAGAGCTCCGTGTCAGTGTCTATGTTATTCCACATAGTGGCGGCGGAGCGTCATTAACCTAAGTGAAGCTCATGATATTTTTTTCTACCGTGAACTTTTATTAAAATATGAAGCAAAATATAAGTCTTCTTTTCATTAGATCTCAGTAAGAACTAGAACGGTCATTGTGAAAACACAACAAATCAGAATGTACCAAAGAATAAGATTATACATTCGTTCGTCGATGCAAAATTTGAACAGAGACTTTTCTGATCAAATAGTAAAGAATGAAGAAATTGTCAAAAATAAATAAATATCATTGTTTTAGTATGAGATATTAATTACAGACTCGTTATCTATAATATGACAACTCTCAAATTTATCCTATTCAAAATATTCAATCAGAGTATTAGTGAACCTAATCAAGACCTTTGAAACTTCGCCTTTATACATAAAAAACATAAGAGAAACAAATTAGCAATTCAATGAGAAATATTTAATAGAAATCAAAAGATCAATTTATTTCCTAACACTCCATAAAAAAATATTTTCTAACGTAATATTCTAGGAAAATATTGATATAAGTGTTTTAATATAATTATTTCAAAACTATATAAAATGTTCATATGATTATTTGTTTTGTATTATATTCATGAATTTGTTTTTTTTCAGATAATAGTTTATTTATATACATAAATATACATAAGTAATAAGCAACGGTAATTTTTTTTCTAGAATATATGAAACTTAAAGAAAAATACTATACGTAAGTAGTAATCACTGTCATTAAACACGTGCATAAACAAAAAATATATATGAAAAAAAAACAAATAAAGACTAGAAGTTCTCAAAAAATAGGATTATTATTATTTTAATTATCACCGTAGTTTTCTTGTGTTTGTTGTTTTTCAGCCATTTCTTTGTTTGCTAATTTATTGACTTCATTCCAAAAATTGACTAAACGATTTTTGTCATTTGCACAAAATGCACGAAAATCAGCTAACATAATATCTTGATATTTTTCTTCACCGGTTTGAGAACTTCGCCATCTTTTACCTAAACAAAAATTCCAACACCAATAAAAGCCACAATCAAGTGGTGATGATTGACCATCACCAGTTCCACTGGATGCAACACGTATTGATCGACGATTACAATGTACATTGTATACGTCAGATAGTATATAAACAAGCATACCACCACTTATATGAACATAATAGATATTCTCATCTTTATAACTTACACAAGCATTTAAAATAAAACCATAACTAAAATTAACAAAAATATCTATTTGATTAGATTTAAATTCAATCAAATAATATATACAAACCGTTTTACAATAAGTTCTTGAAAAATATTTAATTGAAGAACTCTATCTTCTTCAGGAAGATCAGCTAATTTATCACTAAGACATGATGTTTCCATTTTGATATAAATAGGTCCTTTAAAATAATAAATTCATTATTAAATCGTAAAATAGGATAAAGATATGAATATAAAAATCTTATATTCTTATAAAACTATATGAAAAGTGATACTGTCGTAAATATAGTAGATATTCATAGAATTGTTTGATAAATAAACATTGCTAAAACTACTTGGGGTTAATAAGATTTAAAATATTATAAATACCTCGTAATGGATCAAATTCAGCAAATGGATCACATGGAATAGGAATAAGATGAAATGCTACATGATTTGAATCAAGTATTGTTCCTGTACGTTGTGACCAATTAGTAATTAAATCTCCAAGTATACATGAAGTTGAAACAAGCCAACGTATTTCAAGTTCAAATAAACAATGTGGATTATAATATGCATGATGCTGTGCTACTGCCCATTCACGTCTATCAGAAATATGTTTTGGATCAACATCAACATTACAACTACGTTTTAATATTATTGATGGTACTTCTTGTTTTATTAACAGATCATCTTCAGTGGTATTATTTACATTGGTAGAATTTATATTTTCATTTACATTCGTAGAACTTATATTTCCATCAACAGTGGTAAAATTTATATTCCCATTTATATTCGTAGAACTTATATTTCCATTTACAGTAGTGAAATTTATATTTCCATTTACATTTGATGCTCCTAATCGAGTAGTTCGAGGTATTGATTGTGGATTATCAATTAATTTCGGTAATAAACGCATTGGTTTACATTCACCAAAACCTAAATAATCCATTGATGGAATATAATTTTGTGTTTGATGAAATTCAACTTCAGCATAATCATTTGAATCAAGACGAACTAAAAAGAAAATGTTTTTTGTCATAAAATAAATAAGAAATATTTTATTCGAATTAATTTACAGTTTCTTGTTTTATCTGTCACGATAAAATAAAGAAAAAAACCAAAACGAAATAAATCTTCTGTGCATGTACAATGTCGAATATAACCACGTTCACATAATGTCTAAAAATAAATTCTTTTCTTTTCTTTAATTAAATCTTTAATATTTACTCGAAATAATAATAAAGCTGTTTTTTCATCTTGTATATCTTCACAATGTTCCATAGACCACCATATAGCTTCAATTGCAATAAACGAATATTCAGGTAATATAGAATCTTTTACGAATGGTAAGCCTTGTTGTTCATCACGTAATAAAGCTAAGAAACTATTAATTGAGCTTGTATTTTCTGAGATAATATCGGTAAGTTTAAATGTTTTACATGATGTTCTAAAAATTTGATAATCAGTTTTATTTTGTTACAGAAAACAAAGATTATTTACGAATGTTTTGCTGGACGTTTATGACAATCGATTCGTTTGGTATTAGTTAATGGATCAAGAGGCTAGAAAATATATAGAATAGAAACAGAGTAATTAATAATCATTTGAATATTACTCGATGAAAAAATTCATTTGATCCTGTACGTATATGTGTAAGTTTATTAAGCATAACTAAAAATCGAATAAAATGTTCAATATAAAGAAAAAAATCTTCATGTGACATTTCTTGACGACTATCACATTTTGTTTGACCAGATTCAATATTTTTTATTGTATAATCTCTTGAAACAGGCATAAGTACAAGACGAGTACGCCAATATTTCATTGTCTAAATACAAGATATACATATAATTATATTCCGATTCGAAATTAATAGCAAAGTTTATCAGAACAGATGTTTTTTCATATGCTCTTCATACTAATCAAATTGTCATTGGAATATGTTAGACTCAAAATTTTAATATATATTCTTCCTTTTCAAAATTTATTTAAATATAAGCTACACTTAACAAGTAACGCTCCTTCGAGGACTCGCTTAGCTCTTTCTCGTAGAAATCCATTTTCTTCATATTTACTGGAACAACAAATGAAAACCGTAAAAAATTGATTTTCGATGTTTTTTTTACCCTTGAATCTTCTTCGCCTTTACCCTCACCTTGGTCACTCAACAGATCTCAGATTCGAACTCTCCGCATCGAAATATCTCTAGAAATGTCTTTCTCAAAAAATTGATTTTCGATGTTTTTTTGACCCTGCGGACACACAAGCAAGCAAACAATTTATGATTACTGGGCTCTTCTCTACAAAGAAGAGAATTATGTCAATAATAATTCTTTTTGTGTTCTATTTTTATCTTTTGATATACATACATCAGATAGTTTATAACCGCCAGTTCCATGTGTACATACAATATCATCCAAAATATTCCATCCAACTGATTCTAAACTTTCAATTTGTAAATCATATTTAGCTGGATCATAATAAGATGAATCAGGACATTGATAACGATATTTATAATGTACGGGTTTAGGTTGAAAAACATATCTAAAGAAAAGATGAGTATTGATTTTTTTTCATAGTTATTTCTAATTTACTGAGGTTTAAATTGTTGAACAGTTATAACAACAGTATCTTGTGAGCGATTTTCTTCAGTTATAAGACTTATTGTATGATATATTCGACCAATATTTAATAGACGATTACAATCAGTTGGTTTATGACCAACAAGTCGAATTTTTTCAATCATTAATTTTTCAATATGCGGTGGAATTTCCATAATGACTTGAAAACCCTTTGATGAAACAAAAAATTTATTAAAAGAAAACTTCATTCATTTATTAATTACTTGTGATAAACGATGATCAATTAATTCATCAAATACTAATTTGTGTCGTTCCAATGGATCCGATCTATATAATATTAATAAATAAATACAAAAATAATTCAAATAATAAATTTACAGAATTAATTTTTCTTGATTTCCGCTTCCAGTATGTACATGTTTTCGTTTTCGTTCAAAATCAGTTAATGGTGGTAAAATAGCAAGAAGTTGATAGGAATTATATGTATAATCATGTTTCAAATATTCTTCTAATGGTGCAACATCAAATGTAGTTGGAAGAGAAGCTGGTATTGATAAAGATTTCCAATCAATACCAGTAATCATTGATGCACTCCATGGTTCAACACCAGTAGGTCCCCATATAATAGCTTCACTTTTTTCTTCTAGAAAAATACAAAAAAAAGATCAATATTTTCTAATTCATTGAAAATAAATTGAAATAGAAACAAACTTTTTGGTTTACTTGAACTATCAGCATTCGATTTTTTTGTGTTTACATTCGTCACATTAGTTCGATTATCATCAATAAAACTATCTTTACGTTCAATAGTATCACGTCTCATTTCAAAATTTGATGGACTAACAATACTGATAATAGAAAATGAATTCATTGAAATATATTTTTGAAAAGAAAACATTATTTTTATTTATTAAAATACCGTTTAGGTCGAGATGAAATTTCACTAGTTGTTTTTGAATGTTGATTTATTCGTTTTGATTTTAAACTATTTGTAATTCGTTTGGATGTACCCGGAAGTACAAGATGAGCACATGTAGTAATAGAAGCAATTATTTCACGTTTTACTGCATTTTCTCTTTCACGTAAATGATGAAAATGCCATGGGATTTTATTTGGACCTATTGGAAATGTATGTGCCCATCGACGTCGACCAGGTACCATTGGTATACGTATACTAGCTGGTGCAAATGGATTTGTTAAAGCTTTTGGTCGTGGTTGCATACGAGCATATAAATGTGATGTTAGAAAATATGTATCAGCACTTTGTGCTGCAGCACGTGAAAAACTTTGTGGATAAAATAAAACTTGTGGTGATTGATTATATGCATTATTATATGAAAGATATCCCGATATATTAGCTGATGTTGCATGTGATGTTGAAAGGACAATATCATCTTTAATATTTGTATTAAATATACGTAGATCTTCATTTATTCCAGCTATTTTATTATTAATAATTAACATTCCAGTAGGCTCTCGTGATGGTTCTTCTTCTTCGACAAGTACTGGATCTGAAATATTGAAATTATTTATTATAGGTTTTTTCTTGAAATCAATTTATTTACGTGTAGGACCCATAGTTATATTTCGCCGTCTTGCTTTTCGAGCTTCACCTTTAGCAACTCTATCTGCAAAACATGCTTGTTCAGTTGCTCTATTTATTTGAAAATCAAACAATCAAAATCAAATGAAATCTTTTTCTCATGATAAATTACCCTTTTGTTGTTGTTGTTGTTCGAAATACTTGAGCATCATATTCTTCCATAGATAAATGTACTGGTTTTGAAAATAATTCTTCCGTTATTGAATTCATAACATTTTTAACATCTATTATATATATACAATTATAAATAGATAATAAATAAAGTAAATCTTTACCTAACATTCCACCCTTAATTCTATTTGGATTAAATGATAAACGTGGAATAAAACGTTTGAATGAAGTTTTTACAGTTGACGTATGATAATAACTGAAAATCATATGAATAATTGAAAATATTTTCTCTTTATTTCAAATTAACCTTAAATTCATCCAATGTGGTATTTGATAATCATCAGCTGTATTAAGATCGGCTTTAACAAATTTAAATAATGGCACAGCGAATAACGGTTGTTCACCTAAGCAAACAAGATCACTTCCAATTCCATTATCTAATACACGTTGTTTAGTCATATTTGTTAATTCACGATCAACTTCAAATACACCAGCACCAGGTGTTATAACTAAAGACATTTGACCAAGACGATCAAATGGACGATCAATAAAATGACGTTCAAATACTAAATAAGAAATTTTCTATTTTTTATTTCAATTCTATTTTATTTCCACAAACCACTCGCTGATAAATTTAATGTCTCAAGATAATTTCCATCAGCTGCAGATGATATTGTTCCATTAGGCATTTTATCTGCTTCAGATTTTGATAATTGTTTTTTATGATAATTAACAAGATCATCTTTATAATTGACAAGTACTTGTTTGATTTTAGCTAAACGTGGTGTCCAATCATCATAACGTTCATTCTGATAGATTACACTAAATTAATCAAAAAATGGTGATATTAATTATTAAGTTCAATTTTTACCGATAGAAATCTTCATAAAATCGTCCTCGATGATCTTTATTAATATCTCGTCTTAAACTTTCAGGAAAATCATCCAAAGATTTCGCATCATAAAATACTCGAGAAAATAATGTCATTGTTACATCATGTTGACAACTCATTGTCTAAAACAAAATTATAAATAAATTTGTTTTTGCTTCATCTTCTTTATACCTTCCATCGAGTAAATAAATCAAATAGAAATCCATCAACAGCTTTTTCATAATATGTATCACCTTGATGATCAAAATCCCACATTTCTTTTGACATTTGTAAAAATATTGTACAACATGCACTTAGTGAACGAAATACAATCTAAAGAAAAACAAACCATTTGATTAAATCATAGAAAAATTTCTTTATTTTACTTTTGTATCTTTTGTTATATAACCGGAAGATACACGATATGGATGTTCAGGAATCCATAAACCATATACAGTAGCTCTTAAATAATATAAATACTTAAAATACTTATTGCAAAATTAGTTCACCTCATGCCGAATATATCCAATGTCTTCTTTAAATAAACAGTTGTATTATGTAATTTACGTGCAAAACGCCACATATCACCTCGACTAAAATACTGTTCTTTAACTTGAATTTCCACTAAGTAAAGAGAAAATGGCTAAAAACAAAATTTAATTCAATTTCTTATATTCAAAGAAAAAAAATATTGATATTAAAACCTGTTTATCAGCTATTTTTTGTACCATATAATGGCTCATCATAAAACTTATAACAGAAAATGTTTTCTTAATCGATTCATCGATGTGAATTTCTATAAATAAAAATAATTATATTAACATAAAATGAATATTATATCAAAACCTGGATGTGGTGATTGAATTAAACGTTCATCATCAAGACGATCAACTTGCATAACAAGTTTTTGTGTATCATCATCATTTAAACTTATAACAAATAAATCACCTTTAGCTAAATTTGTTTTTGGACTAACTATTGTTAATGCACTAGGATCTAAATATGAGAAAAAGAAATTTAAATGAATTATTTCTACAAAGAAAATTAACTGACTTGTTCCACGTGTAAAAACAACTCGACATTTAAATCTAAATTTATAAAATATATGAAATTTTTATTATTTGAGTTTATATGAACATACGGATTTCCTTCAAACACCGGTTTTTCTGGTTCAGTTACATTTGATGTATTAGTTGATTCCATGTTAACAAAAATAAGAAAATACTCTGTTCATACCAAAAAAAAATAATAAAAAGTATTTTTGATCTAATTTGTACTTAATACAGCTGATACATGTTTTTGCTGTTGCTGATACTTAGGATAAAATTAGACCAATGAAAGAACAGCATTTTCAGTATTCGATTACTGATGACCTCTGGAGATAAAAAATCTATATAGTTAATGTGGTTTGTTCTTTCTTAATTTCGATTTGATTTTTTGTTATAACTAAAAATATATTTATAAATTTCTGTTCAAGCATTTGAAGATATAGTTTTAAAGAATAAAATCTATTACGGTAGAAAATAATCATGACATTGTTTTTCAATAATAAGAAATTTTCGGATAAATTTTATTTTATTCCTTCAATCTAGTTGTTCTATATGAGTATACATTTTTGGATTCAGATTTTTAGTCATAAAATATTTTTCAACTCTTTTCCTCGTCTTCAAGTATATTCGATTCAGTTCATTAGTTAAATAACATCAACAAGAGATTAAGCAATACATCATTCACTTGTTGCCAATAATTTTAGACTTAAAAACAACGTCAAACACAATTCATGCATAGCTATCTTTTCCATCACTCTATAAACTTTATTTCGTATGTGATAATGATTGGTAGATCGTATTTAATAATGAATTCATTTATTAAAATAAAATTAAACTATGATAAATTAATATTATAACATATTAATAAAAAAAAATCACTTTTTAATATCAAGAAGAGTTTGTTTTAATTGTTGAAGTGTCATTGCTTTCGATTCTAATGCTAATCGCATTGCCTAAAGTGACATATAAAATTTTATTAATTACTAGATGAATTTAATACTTACATAGCCTGATGGTGATGTATCAGAAATCAATGTCGATCTATCTATTTCATTATATTTACCAGCTTTAAATTGAAATTTTGAAAATGGATCATCTCCATGCCAACAATGAAGATGTAAACGTAAATTTTTACTAATATCATTTTTATCTTTTGATGTTACACCCTGATCTAATAATTGATCACCAACAGCTATTTTAAGATTTTCACTAGTAATAAGATGATTTATAGCTAAATGACCACCATAAAGTAAAAGAACACCAAAATGCCATTCGGGCCAAAGCTATATATATTAAAATATAATGAAAAAACAATAAGAATTGAATAAAAAGAGAAACTAACCATTACACCTAGTTTACGTTCTCTTTCTGGTGTAGTAAATTCATTCGTTACAAGATGTATCATAGCTTGTATTGTATAATTAGCCATATGATGAATCATAGATGGTGGTCCGTACCTAATAAATACAATGAATATTTCAACTACGAATATAAATATATTAAAAGAATTAGTTTACGATGACACAAAGTTGCCTAAGAGTTCCTTTGATAAAATAACATACGTATTACTTTAACGACTACATTAGTTTACGTGACGTTTTTTTTTAGTTTAAACGTATTAACGCAAGATTTTATCTTGGACTCAAACAAAGTTATACAGAACTATTGAAATTCTTGCGAAATCTTTAGAAATACAGTAATGACATTAATAAGGGAAATAAAAATTCTACTAAAAATAGTATTCCAAATAATTAAAAAATAGAAGACTGTTCAGTTCATTAATTATTACAGTTAAATAACTTGGCATCAATGAAAATTTTTTAATGAGAATATATTTATAGAATAAACTTTTTATAAGATGTCTAGAAAACCTCTCAGTAAATTGAGAACAAGATTAAAAAAAGACGATTTACCTTCTATTTTTTATAATTATCCGAAAGAAAAAGAATAAATTTATGTGTTGTATTTTTAACAGATGATCTCATATATTAGTTACAGACAAACTCATACGAAATGAAACTATAAAACTTTTATATAAATTAATATATAGGTTTCCTCTTCGACTGAACATTTTGTTTAGACATTAAGAATTCGGATTTATAATAGTCTGAAAGTCTATCGTATATATATATATATATTACGAATAGATGAAGATTTATAGTTAGCTGAACGAGTTAAAGATTGGAAGAATACTATAAATTTTATCTTTCCTTGATAATTAAAAGTAGTCAAGTCAAGGAATGATTCCAATTAGAAACTTATATATTTATCATTGATTTTCAATGAATAAATTAAATCTACCCTATAAATTTCTTACCAAGTTGATCCTAAACCATTCTTATTAGCATATGTCCAATTCATATCACGAGCAATACGCTTTAAACGTTTATTATTAAATTCTGTCGAATAACCACCACGACCAACAAGTATAGAATAATTATATGGAACATAGTATGCAAAATTATATGTTAGAAAACAATCCATATCTGTACGAAGTATAAAATCATACATAGAAAAAGATGCTTTATATTCAAAAACTGTGTTAATTGAATCAATATATTCATAAGCTCGTAAATATTGATAAGTTGTTTGTGAACGTTGTTTATCAATAGTTTGATATTTACTAGAAGGTTCATGTGTCGTTGTACGACTTTTTATACGAATATAAGGAAAAATACGACATTTAGGTTTTTCTTCTGAATTTATACGGATTTGATTATATATACAATCGAGATCTTTAAAAATTGATGCATATTCACTAGTATAAACAATTAAATCAGTTCTCCATAATATCGATTCATTTATCATCATTTCAGTCCATGAACGATAAAACCACCGGAATTCAGGTAAAAAATCTAATTCTTGATCATTCGGATAAAAAAGAAGGAGAGCTCGCAATAGACTTGATTGTGATGAAGGTTGATAGATTAATGGCAGGTTTTTTGTAATACTATTATTTCCTTTATTACCAGTTAATTGTTGACTATATGACACTTGTTTATGAACATTATATTGAATTTGACTTATACCAAAATTTACAGTCGATTGAGAGAAAGACTTGTGAAAATTTTTAGTATATAAAATAATTACTGATAATATTAACATAGAAATAATAAATAAAAAAAATATACGACGAATAAGTCTTCCAGATATATTCAATTGTAATACAGATATCATAATTATTTTGTTTTAATGAGAAGAATAATTTCCGTATATATCACAGTTGACATGAAAATTCGGTTGAGTTTTAGATTACTAAGTAGATAATTAAAAAATAATAGAAAATGGAAAGAAGATATCTGATCTACTATAGCGGTATTGAAGAAAACGAACATGAACAAATCATAAATAACTATGTTATAAATTAAAAGGAAATCTTAAAGATAAAATCGATGTTACAATTATATATCGTAACTTGTAGAAGAAGAGGGTAGTTTTGGAAGCTCAGTACTAGTTCATTTATTTAAGAATAAAACGCGAGTATTTATAGGACAAGAAATGGTTACTTAGATTATTCTCACTTTTTGTAATACAATATATTCTAGGAAAATACCTAAGTGATATTTTTTCATTCATCACTTGGAAATTTCAACGCAAGTTAAAAGAGCAGAAGAAGAACGACTTAAGATAAAGAAAGGAAAAATCTCATATGAGCATATATGAAGAGAAAAAAGAAACTACCAGATAGGCATATATATATATGTGAAAGAATAGCGAACAACTAATTCATATGTTCGCTTACAATCGATTATAACATCAACCTTATCTTTACCTCACATAGAACAAATTATATGATTAGTGATAAATCAATATGAAGTATTTAGTTATATATTTAATATATAATCTTTTATAATATATTTTACTTTCATATCTTTTGTTGATCTAAGGTTTTATTTGAATAATGCCTCTGATGAAATCTATCCGGAAGTATATTTTCAAATTAAAAATATCAGAGAATGACAAGAAAAATGATAGAATTTAATGCTAAGGTACATAATATTTTATTAATATAGAGAAACAGAGGCAATATGTCTCTTTCATCTTTGATTGACTCTATCTAAGTATATTTCATCTTTGATTGATTCTGTCTAAGTATATGTATGATAATATTATTACTATTCTCGTGTATTATCTATTTAAACTTATTATATCACTTAACGAAAGCTTTTTATAGCTTAAGAATAAAAAAAACAGGAACGATAGTCATGAGAAGTAGTCATTTTACCGACTCATTTATACAAATTACTTTTTTTTTCTCTGCTAGAAACAGAAAATAAAATATTGAATCATTATTAGCACAAAATACATACTGATAGTGAAAAGAAAATATATAAATATTTTTAAAGAATAATTCATAATAAAAATAAGTAGAGACTGTTAACAATTTACTTATATTTAATAGTGTGTAAGAATTTATCATACGATTAAAATATTAACGACAAGAAAAATTCGTGACACTTTTTTTTTCCTCTCCTTTCCACTTGACATAATATTTCTATTGAAGTAAATATAAAGCTCAACTCGTTCTTACTCTATGCAAAAAAGTAAGAACAAGATAAAAAAACATAGTTCTCTTTATTTAGTATATATACGCACACACGTCTTTGGTTTATTAATTTAATCTGTATGTAATCAAATGATTGGGTATATATAAATCTAAAGAAAGTTTATAAATAGAGAATATTATTATAAAATTTCTTTTCATATATATACAAATACATGTCTATTGCATAAACCTTTATATATATATATTACTTGCAACAGTTATACAAATGCAATCAAGCAGACATATACTACCTTTTCTTCAATTGTAATTTTTAGTTTCTCGTGTGATATCTATGCAATATTTAAGATCAGTTTGCATAATAAAAAGCACATGATTTACTTCCGAAAGATTTAAGATTAACATATGTCAGCGTAAAATTTGATAAAAACAAAATATTTGCCTTTTTTTTTCTTCTCGTATGAAATATATATATCAGTTAATATTGATAAAGACATATTCGTTTTCATTTATTATGTTATTCTTCAATCTTAATTCAAGGTCTCATTATTTAACTATTTTAGTTCATTTATATCAATAAATAACAAACATTATATCAACAAAAATAGCTAGTTGTGTTATTGTTTCCTTTACGTTTGACATTAATAAGT